TTGACCGTTGTACAGCGATTGTTGTTAAATGTTCATTCATTTCGATACTAATTCATCGCATGCATCGTCCGCCCCTGTGAGCTAGTGGCTACGTCCAATTAATATGCAGATCTACTTGTGCATTAATCATTGGCAGATATCGGGCATCGCCTCGGATCGCCAGCAGAGCCAGCGCATCAACACGTTCCAAATGGGCGACATGAGCCACCATCAGCAGCACGCCATGCGCAACGGCATGAGCATGGAGCGCAAAATGGATGCACCGGTAAGTGGAAGACTCTTATCTCTCTGGTTTTCTCCTCCACAGTTCTCTTATGCATCTCTTCTCTTACAGTATGCGGCTCTGCGCAAGGGTCTCCTCGGCGTCTACAGCGTGGTCCTCATCCTGTTCGTCGTGGTGCTCATTCTGCTCGTGGCTCTGGCGCCCATTGAGAAGCTCTTCGAGTAGTTCAGGCGGACAGGCAGCCAGCTAGGATTAGACAAGCGCTTAACAATCTCTGCTTCTACGCTCAATTGTTTTATAACATATTATTTTTTTATACCATGTGTAATTCGTTCCCGTTTTATGTTGTTATGTGTAAATTAAGCGCAAGAGTGTAACGTTTCAGTACATGTATATAATTTATTATTGATAATGTAAAACAAGCCAACTTAAATGCGTTTCCTTCAATGCTTATCTAACGCTAACGCTAACTCTATTTAAAGAGAGAGACAGAGTGAGGAGAGAGAGAATGTGGTATATATGTATGGATGTGTGTGTGTGTGTGTGTGAATGTGTGTGCGTGACAGGAGAGGCCTAGATAAGTAGGATTACCGCGAGGGGGCGACATACATACATATACTGACAGCCTTTGCTACTATTGCTGCTTCTTTTACGTTGAGTTTCAATTTTGTTTACTTCATAGTATTATTATAATTGTAAAAAACTTTTGCTCTTAGTTAGCCGTTCTCCTAGATGATGAATGCTAAGTATGCCGATTTCATTTGATTTTATGTTCTTTATGTTTCTCAATTACAATCTTGCTGTTGTTTTCTTTCTTATTCTTCCACTATTTAAAGTTAACATAGAGATACAAAACTCAATTTTTTTCAATTATTAATGCAGAACTTAAACCCAGTAATGTGAACGAACGCTTTAAACGCAAAACGAACAGAATCAGAATCAAAATTAATTATATCATAATTAATTTGATAATCAAAATCAAAATCGCTCCTCCAATATAACCGTTTCCTGCGGATATAGCTTGAGCGTTTCCAGCGTTTGTCCAGCGTCGATGGACGTTAAATCGCGTCTCGGCCAACTGCTGATGACCTTGTACTCGTCGATCAAAAATCCATTGGCGGTTATAAAGTTCAATAGATCCTGAACAAGAAAGCATATATATAGTCTATATACTTGCACATAATCCATTAAATCTTACCTGCAGTGTGTCCCGCGTGAAAAAACGTCGCTCCAAAAACTCTCCCGTTGGTTTTCGTACGCGTATTTTGGAAATGTTTGTTTCTTGCTCGGCAGGCTCCTGAGGTAACGATTGTGTAGCCTAGCATATAAAGAATATGCAATTAGTAAATGCCAGTATATATATATATATATATATATATAGAGCATGTCAGTTTGTCTTATTTACCACTAATCGGATGGATTCGCGTCTAGCGTCTTCTTCGGCCTGCTCGGATTCAATGCGTTTGCGTTCGGCGGCCTGCGCGGCCTCCTTTTGCCGTTTAGCTGCCTCTTTGGCTATATCCGCTTGTAGGGTCTCCTCATATGCCATATCCTGCTCAGCTTTCACCTGATCGCGCGCAGCACGCTCGTTCTCCTCCCGTATTTCACCCTGCAGCTGCTCCTCGTACATAACCGTTGTCTCAATTAGGCGCGATTGCAAATCAACCAGACCAATGTTGCCTGCGATCAAAAATTTGATATAATCCCACTCAAAATTCCGGAGGGTGTAGCCAAGGCAACTTACCATGAATCACAGATAAGACCTCGCATGTTTGTCGGCCCTCGAGGCGACTCTTGCCCACTAGCATTATGGCGGGCAGCTTGTCAAGTTTAATATTTCTGGCCGTTAAGGAAGCGTTGCTATTAATGCAGGCCGTCAATGAGGACAGAAACCTGGAACATGCATAAAACATAATGCCAATTAATATCTGAATCACATAATCCACTTCATTCGTATGCCTACATATCCTTGTTGCTTTCGTACGTCATGTCCCAGCCATAGAGCACAAAATTCGCCTTGAATGTCTGTATGATGGCCTCGTCCTTCATGAGATGATCACAGAATACATTTGTGAGTATGCTCTCCCCGTGATGTAAATAAATTGCCAGCAATTTCCGCTGCAAAGGCAAAGCAAATTTAAGTCTTTTGATTAACCTTTAATAATGGACTAGTTGGATTACCTCCTTGGCGGGCTTGTGACAGGCCAGCCGCAGCGCGTTCTCTAAACTGCCCACATAAAACTCGGGATGTGGTTCGCCAAAGCGTTGTTTATAGTTTTCCACAAATTGTGCGGAGCCACTCGTCTCATCGTTCGTATTGTTGGGTACTGCAAGGCAGAGAGGGACAGTGTTAAATTATTGTTGCCATGGGTTTGGATTTGGGCTTACTTAGATGTCTGTTGAGCGGCTGCACTGGCGGCGAATCGGAGAAAATATACTCCGAATTGTTGAAGTCTGTGGCATCCTCAAACTCATCAGCTGAACTTTCGCTGTCGAGAGCTACGATTTCTCTGCAAATGGAAACAGATGATCAATATATATTACACATATAAATATAAGCAGAATATTTCTTACGTGTTGGCCAGCAAATTGGAATTACTTGACGATCGATCCGCAATGTTGCGTATTACAAATTCGTGCGTTTGTTCAATGCCCGATTGCTGTGATTAGAGAATAGATAAAGTAAACAATTTATATATACTCTATATAGAAACGTATTACAAAACACACCGCTAAATTGGTATCATTATCACAACCGCTCGGCCAGCCGGACCATTCCTGATGCCTAACTGGTATATTGGTAATGTAGTAAACATTCGTTTTCAGTTCATGGATGGTGGTGCGTCCAGGAAAATTAAGTGTGAGCCTGCCATCCTCTGTGCCGCCCTCTACCATAATGTGCAGTTTGTACATTTTATCCAATCGCTGTGTCACTTCATCCCTAATAAATATATATATATATAGATATGAGAATCGATTGGAGTTCGACTGGAGCTGTGGAGCTGTGTCTAGCTTACTGCTCTGTGTCCATGAAACCATCATCGGTTAGATCAACAAGTATGAGGTCGCTGATGGGCGGTAAATCTAAATTGCCTAACTGCGTCTCTGGTATTTGTGCTTCGCTTGCTCTGGACGGCGGCCAGCCGCGTAAGGCCTGGCGGCATTGTGGCATATTTGTTACGTCAAAGATCTTGCGTTTCAATTGTTCTGCCAGAGATGGAAGGGAAATCCAATTATTACTATTCCATTAGGAACAAGTAGATAATCATTTACCTATGGTTGCGTTTGGTTGCATGCAAATCTTATAGAGTTGTTGGTTGAAGTGTATATTGAATGTTAGGAGATTTTGGTTATTATTCTGCCTGGGTGGATCCAAGTTAATGCTCGATGTCAGCTGGGCCAGCATTTGTGAGGCTATAATGGGAGACATACAAATATATATGTAGAGAGCAATTTACCATGGCAAATTCACAGGTTTACTCACTTGGAAACAAGCGGGCACCTTGCGAGGGTCCAGGTTGCTCCTCGAAATTGAATGACCTGAAGCCATTGGAATTTGATGGTGCTGAGGCGACCGCTACCGGATCTGGCGCTGAGGGCTCCGGCGTATGTATAGGATTGGCCAGTGGGGCATCATCGTGGGGCATGACACGGCTGAGTGCCTCCTAAAACATGACCGAAACGAGACAACAAACAACGCAATTAAATTGGTACGCATTTGTATACTGTATGACGCACTTACCACTAGATCCCAATTGGACGACTCCAGGTGGGAGAAGGCCTCGCCAACATCCTCTATTCCAGTTATGATCTGTGACATTGAATTACAATTTAGTTTTGTTTGCATTCAAACTGATTGCAAGTCCAAGACGCAGACACCTACACATAGGCACATAAGCACACACACATACGCGCACCCCCTTACTTGCACACACACACACACAGAGTGAGACACACACAACATACGCATTGGAAATGTGCGCACTCAGCACTCGTTTGGGCCACAAATAATAACAGAAGTTTGCTGCGTCTGGTGGTTAATCGATGCTGCATTTCTTACCTGGAAACTGGCCAATGTTTCTTCTTTGTCCTGGTTGTCCGACATTAGTGTATTTAATTAGTATTTCGAATAAAACTAAAGTACTACTAATTTTCACAAAGAAAAGACAAAAGACAGTCTGATGTAAAAAACATTCGCCTGTTAACGCAATGTTAACACATGTATGAGACTGTAAACTTTACATATGGTACGCTGCTCGTAAAAACAGCTTGGCGAATGCTACTAAAATATGTGTATTTGGTCGGCACATAAAACAAGTTGTTTTAAACAATTTTTTCGTTGTATTCGCGTATATTTTAGTTTTTATTTTTCAACACACATTTAATCAAAAAGCTTGCATAGATTCCACTATATTCTGACGTTAATATATATGTTACTGTTCAAAGCAAATGTTATTGCTTTTGAGTTTTGCCAGTTTTGCACAGCTGAGCTGCGTACCCACCAGCAGTAATTTCGTGATGGTAACAGGTCATCGATAACAATTTTTTCTACTTGTTTACTTTCGATGTACATTTTTACGATAGTTAGGGCGCGATTTTTTGAAATGTTATAAGAGCAGTGGTAAATGATTATTAATGACTTAAGCCGAAATAAGTTGTTTTGATGGTATATAAAAAACTGCTCGTTGAAGCTTCAGATTACAAATAGGAAAACCAACAAACAAGTGTGTTCATATACATTGCTTACTTCAGCAGAGTTATATTTATTTATCTTAGTCCTTTTGTCCATCGATGTAATGTATTCAGTTTTAAATTGTGATTAATATGCGAAACTTAATATTGTGTACCAGTGAGACCGCCCACTAGCACACTCGATATACCAAACAGGCGCTCAACGCTCAGCGTTCAACGCCTACGCGTCGCACCGAACAAATATCAGCCAATTAATCTTCATAAGGCGAGTGAAATCAAAGAACTGAATGCGATGTGATTTCGATGGGGCCGGCCGTTGAGTCCGGCATAGATGCCAATTGGTGCTCCGAACAACATGTTGCTGTTCGCTAATATTTGTTTGAAAATCGCAACACTTGCCACAATTTGTGGCATCCTCAGCCAGCTGCAAGTGGCTGGTGCCGTAACAGCAGCCGGATCTGTGCAACAATTGCCGCAACGCATCCACAATTTACTCCATCAATTATCCTGTGGCAGGAAGCTCAATGCAAGCGCCAAGTTCGCTTTGTTGTTGGCCGAATTTCTTATAAAGCGTAAGCCCAATGAACTGTGCGCACACACATAAATATGTATGTGTGTGTGTGTATGTGTGTCATAAATAATCATTAATTTCGGCTTACGCCGCATAATTTTGCAGAGAAAATGAGATACATAACGCCCACACGATACGATAGACAATTATATTATCAACTGCTGCATAAAATGAATCAGCTGGCAAGCTGTGAAAATCCAGGCGAATTTAATCCAGTGCAGGAGCTAAGTAAATTTTTTACTAAATTAATTAGATATTTTCTCTCACAGTTTCCCCGCTTATTCCACTTAGTTTTGCGAAATGCCTTTCAGCGCAATGTTTTGCTGTTGCCACCCAGCTTGAAGTTGGTTTGCACAATTTAGTCTGCAGGCTCTTTTATCTTCATCTCTTAACTACTTCTCTTATTTGCAGATATGGCGCACTGAATGCGAATGCTGAATATGAGCAGCTGGCCTTGAGTTATGACAGCCTCGTCAGCCAGGGCTCGCCGAACAGAACGGAATCGGATCTCTGCATGCGTGATATAGTCACTCTGGATACGAGCCGGTGTAAGCTCAGTCTGAACTGCTTGGACCTGTTGACCAGCGAGTCGCCCTCCTATGGCTATCAGCGCACTCATCAGTGAGTATATGAGTTCTAGTTCTATTAGATATTCGCAACGAGATATATGCCTATGATATACTCTGTAGATATTGATATTGATTAGCGGGTATATTGTTTGTATATGGTATATTCTTGTATAGAGTTGTTTTCTTACTATTGAGAGAGCATATAATTGAAGATTAACAATATTTATTATTATGTTTATTATCATATAATAGATATTATATATCTCTTACCTCTCTCTCTCTCTTTATATAATATACATCGCCCATTTTCGAAGTTTACGGGGCATATCCTATATAGAGATTTATAGCGCTATAAAGATATTACAGAGTTATACGTCTGTTATATCCCATTTACCAACACTTGCAGCGTATATTAGCAGTTAAGCATATTAAATATAATATCTTAATGGATTCCATTGCTTTATAGGGTGCTTCTGCTCTACATTCTGCAGCATCACAAATGCGCCCCCCGCTTGAGTCCGCCCCAGCTGTACGAGGAGCTGGCGAAGGGACACTGCAATGAGATCTTAAGCGAACAGAATGCGATACGCAGCCTGGCGCTGGGCATGGGCAAGTACAAGGATCTGTATCTGGAGCAAGGTAAATGCCGGAGGCATTATTAGTTGTAGTATATGGGTCTAATGGATAATGATTAATTGCAGCAACTATTTGTGGTCTCTGGGGCTACAATGAGTTCCTCAACTGGCGCAATGTGATGGAAATTGACAGCTGGCAGAAGGAGGCGAACCAGCAGCAGCAGCAGGAGCAACAGGAGCAGGAGCTGCAGGAGGAGGAGAAGGAGCATATTAAGGACTTGTCGCTTGTGTTCTACATAAATGCGTTGCTGCTGCTGCATTAATGCTGATGTAATTTACTGCTGCTGCTGCTGCTGCTGCTGCTGCCTCTGCTGCTGGCGTTGCTTTTGCTGCTTTTATAATAACTGCTTGATAACTGAATAAAATGCAGCTTTATTGCTTTGACGATGTGTTGACAGGACAAGCAGTTAATACTTTTGTTATTGAGTTGCCAGCGAGTGTGTATGTGAGTTGTTGTTGTTGTTGCTGTTGTTGCTGTTGTTGTCAGGTGGCGACACATTTGTAATGTGACACATTAGTTGCGCCTGGCTGACATCTTGATGGATGCGGCGCAGGAGACGGCAACACTTTCCATTACAAAATGCTCGCATTGAAGTGGAATACTAATATTTGCGCTGACATACTCGAGCAAGGCGCTGAAGAGGGGAGGAGTGGGCGAGGAGGCGCCGGAGGAGGTGGAAGAAAACATGGAAGCCAGCCAGGAGCATGGCTCTTGGATATTAATGCCTCATTTGCTGCAAGTGACGAAGTGGGGCGGCAGTTGCAGCGCCCACTAAGCCTTGCACAAAAGACATAAAGCACACACACACACACCGAGAAGGGAGAGAAAGAGAGAGAGGGAGAGAGGGAGAGGGTCACATTCACTCAGTCACCCATACACACACACACATACACAGACAACACTCTTGTCTGTGTGTCATGTCATGGGGTTTGCCCTTTTGGCCAGGCAGAGCCGCTGGCAAAGGCAAAGGACTTAGCAGCGCATTGTCAAAGGGTCCACGAATGGTGGGCGGGCCCGGTCATTAGCAAAGTTGACTGCCAGTGCAGTTACAACAACAATAACAACAGAAATAACAACAACATGTTCACATGGTCAAGTCTCAGTTACACAGCCCACAGGAGTTAGCAGCCTAAGCTCTTGCCCACACTTCAGTTTTATTTTGTTTTTCATTTCTTTTGTCATTTTCAACAACAACAATAGCATTAACAACAACAACCCCTGCAACCTGATCAGCTGTCATTGCTGACTTGCTGCCCTTCGTCTCGTCCTTTCCTTTTTGAAAGGCTTAAGCGTGTGTATATATGTGCGTGTGTGTGCGTGTGCCTTCAAGTGTCGATTGCCTGCTGGTAGGTGTTTATTGTGATGTTAAGTTCGCTGGCAAGAACAGCAACAACAAAATGTTGTTTAACATAGCGCCGCTGTCACTGGCGCTGACAGCTCTTGGGGCGCTGTTGTTGTAACTTGAGCCCGGAATGTTTGGCATGTTTCAATTTCATTTCGTTTCATGCGCCTGCGCCATAGGAAATGCGCTCTCTTGGATAAAAGGTGGCCGCTGAGAGCATGGAAGGAGGAAGCAGAAGCTACATACCATAAATAAGGGCTGCCAACACAACTTAGTAGTTATTATACCGATTTGTGGAACTCTTGATATTAACTAAATTAATAGGTAACAGAAAATTGAAATCAATTACAATAATTTAAACTAAACTTTCTAGATTAAAAACAAATAATAATTGGTTAACTGTTCCAAAATAATTAATAATTATTTAAATTTTTAGGTGTTTCGACTACCCTAAACCACCCCGATGATAGCCTGTGTTCGTTCATATTTGGCGCCTCTTTACATACTCGGATAATCAACTAACGGATACTACGAACGCGATTTGGGCACTTTAAGACCAACAACAACAACACCAACTGTCATTCTCTCTGGCAAAGGTGTTTCGTTCGCTGTTGTTGTTGCGCTAGCATGCTTCTTGCTCTCCACTCTGGCAGAGTTTCGCTTCGTTCCAATCAGCAACGGCTTCGATACGCGCAGTAGTCTCCCGTCAATTAGAGTGTAAAAACGTAAACGCTCCATAGAAACGGCTATCGGAACGGTGCCGCCACAGAGACAATCTTTCGCAGGATACAACCAAAATATAACATATACACACACACACGCGCTACAACAACAGCTAGTTGGATGGAAAAAAAAAGAAAGTTAAAACAAAATAAATATATGAGATTTGCATAAAAAAATAATGAGGTGTCAAGTGTGAAGAAAAAAACGTCGCCTGTACAAGAGTCGAATGTGCAATGTGAAAGACATCATAAGAGATTGTGCGTGTGTGTGACCGTGTGCGTGTGTGAGTGCGTGTGCTTTGATGTAAATACCACGAAAATCGCTGAACGCCGAAAATAAAGCAGCAGAAATCAACGAAGACGAAGACGACGTCGCCGTCAACGAGGCGGACGCTCGCCAAAAAGCAGAGCCAATACAAGTGAGTAGTAAACGTTGTTGTTGTAGTTGGAGAAACGAGGCGAAATGAAATAATGGAAATTTATGTTAGGCAAGCAAGAGCGCACTTTAAAGTGGCACTTGGGCACAACGTAGAGCGGCGGGAAAGCGGCAGAGCGAGAGGAGCAAATTAAATATAAGAACTGCTGTTGTACTATTCATATATGTATGTATGTATGTGTGCATTTATACATACATACATATATTATATTTGACAATTTTGCCTGCTGGTTGCATTCAAAGAACGCATTCGGCCCGGGCAATGTTCGCTATGTTGACGTTTTTCTCACTCTCGCTCCCTCTTTCTCTTGCTTGTCACTGACTTTCTCTCTTACACTCGTTTGCCAACTTCCATTTTGCAGTCAGTCAAATGTCTTTGATATAATGTCGCCCAGCACTCACTCACACACACATACAATTACACAAAGCTGCGGCTGCAATAGCCACACACATACACACACAAAAACGCACACGCACGTCACGTTGTGTTGCTGCTACTCTTACATTATAGCTCAGCTTGAGTGTGCTTGTGTGTGTATGTAGCTTCTTTTGTTTTAGTCCTTGCCTGAAATTGCTTTCTGCTGCTGTTTGCTTTTGTTGTAGAGCTCAGCGCGACGTCTTTGACAGGGCGCAAGTAATATGCGCACCTGTGAATTTGCCATAAATTAGGCGCAAGAGACGCGCTCACACACACAGACACACATGCAGGCACACAGACACATATTTATACGTAGACGCATGTCAAACGTTAAGAATTTAACAGCAAAAACGCGCGCCAAACTTTTACGTTATATGCATGAGTGTGTGTATGTTTGTGTGCGTCTGATTGGGCCGTAACTTGGGTCAGTCTGTCATGCGTGAGCTGCTCGGCCCAAGCAGCCCCCAAGGAACGCCTCACATTCCCATCAAAATGTCCCTCTGTCTGGCTGTTCAGTTCTGTTTCTGTTTTCTGTTTCTTTTTTTCTTGTTCTGTTTTCTGTTTGTATTTTGTGGTCTGCCTTCAATTGGCTCTCAACGGGCTTTGCTCTATTTACCTTATAAAAACACAATTTATTGCTGCTTTAACGATTTTTCTTTTGCGGTTATTTTCTGTTAGCTGTGCTGTTGTTGTTGCTGTTGTTGATTCTTTTGCTGCTGCGGCGGCTGTAGTTTTGTCTGTTACAACAGTTCCTCTCTCTTTTTTGCGCTCATTGACTTTGATGCTCCCTGTTTGTTTTATTTCTTTATCTACGTCTATGTGTGTGTGTGCGTGCGTATATTTACCGTTCGCTTTTCGTATTGGCTTTGGGTATTAAGTTTTGCGTGACATCAACACAAAAAATCATCAGCAAAACAAAACAAAAGCAACAAGAACAAGAACTGCACAAACAGTAAGCACTCGTTGGAGAGGCTAGGATATAATTTGTGCTGTGTTAGCTGTTTCGCTGCTGGCAGTTGGCCTTGCTGTAGTTTTAAATCAATAATTTATACTATAGAATAGCCCGCATATAAGATAGGGTTTGGGCTCGTGTGTTTTTCGCTTGTTTCAGCTAATCAAGTTGTACTTTCAGTTCATTGTTCAGCAGATATAATAGATAATGGGTCTTTTGTGCGATTTAGGTCACAATTAGATAAGCGCACTCACACACATATCCATATACCTACACATACATGTTAATGCTATTAACTTGCGAGGCGAAATGTTAATGAGCTGAGGATCAAAGAGAGAAAGAGAAAGTGAGTAAGTGAATCATTGAGAGTTTTCAACAAAAAAAGGGAAGTAAGCTGTAACTTAACAGAAAAGCTGTATGCTAATCAATACAGCAGCGAGAAAGCAATAACATTGCCTAAGCAGACGCTGAGTGGAAGGAGAGAATTGCTGCAACTAAAAAGTGAGAATTGAGTATGAGTTTAGCAGTGCTGTTAATGCAAATTAAATAGAAATGTTATTAGCATAAAAAGAGTTCCTATAGGATAAGTCAATGCTGATTAAAGTAGAGGGCAATGTTAATTAGAGAAAGAGGAACAGGAGCTATTAAATAGTAGTTACGGAGTTGTTTTAAATAAATTGTTGTAAGTTATGAATGTTTAATAACAATTGATTGACATAAAACTTGCCTATGTCACAAATTAGCTAAGTGGCAATAAACTTATAACTTCACGTTCAACTTTTACACATATTACTTCAAAATTGTTCATGATTTCTGCATATCACATAACAGTTATACAATAAAAAGTTATTTTTACCACACAAACAAGTTTTATTGCCATTAGTTATGATTTTCACTGTGGCACTCAAGTGAGCTTCAATTGCCCGATTGCCATTTCTTGTTGCCCAACACTCTTTCCAACACTTCCCTTTGTTTGCTGCAGGAGAAATATAAGAAAATATTATGAGTTTACGTTTGTATGTATTCTCATAAACTTTTTGAAAACTTCAGGTAAAACTGTCATAAAATATTTGCTCAGATCTTGGTTGCATGGAGAAAAGAGGAAAATAATAATATAAGACAAGGCAAAAGAACAAAAGATTTGTGAATATGAGATAAAGTAAATAAGGAAAAGAGGAGTAAGAAAAATTAAAGAAAGAAAAACAAAAGGTATTGAGAAATTGAAATTTGAAGATAAGAGAAATAGTGATATTAAATAGAAAAGTTTAGAAGAGTAGAAATGTGAAGTGAAGAAAAGAGAGTAGACAAAAAACGGAGAGTAGAAAAGACAAAGATAGAGATATCAAAGCAAACTTAATAGAAAACAGAAACTGGAGAGGGCAATGGAACTAAAAGAGTGGATAAGAAAAGAGCAACAAATAAAGCAATTAAGGATAAAGACATAAACGAGCATATTGAAAAGAAGAGAAGAGAAGTAAAGGCAGGAGAGCAGGCAAAAATAGAGGAGTGCCAAGGACAAATGAAAATAAATGAAGGAAGGAAAACGACGAATAGTAGTGGAAGAGAAGGTCACAGAATTGTAGCATACTTTTGAGTCGAATTAACTAGAGAATTACATTTGTAGCATTCCGTCTCGTTTATTGTGCATTTAGACAGTTAGCTGTTGGGGGGAGAATAATTGTGTAATTAAATCAATGCCACTCGACGTTAATTTAGTTCCATTAGCCGCATAATTGGGTTGATCAACTTGATGTGCGCCAGTGCAGAAGTTCGGAGACTGCGACTAAGTGTCATTAATTTTGATTTTGGAGGCAATATCAATGTGTTGCTCTAATTAGTTTGGGCCTGCGGCCGAAAGCGTAGTCTAAAGCGCCCAAATGGCCACTTGCCACTTACCACTTGCCACTTACCACTTACCCATTTGCCATTTGCCACTTACCACTAACAACTTGGACTGCTGTAAAATTTTCCAGCCAAATGAGCGCACGTTCTTTACTTAACTTTATTTCTTTTTTCTCTTTTTTGGCTGCGTTTACCTGAATAATGAGTTTTCATGTGCCGCATGCCACATGCCACATGCCCCACATCAAACACACACACACACATGCACACACACACACATGGGCATCCCAGCTACATCCCAGCCTAGTTAAATGTATGCATTCTGGCTGAATGTGGCCAAAGCTGATGCCAAAACTGAAAGCTAAAGCTGGGGGCTGAAGCTTGTGCGACAGCCTTCAACATTTGCTGGCTATTCGGAGGCGTCGTACCGGAAAGAAATGCCATTAAAAACGCAATAAAAATGCAAAAGCAACAACAAAATCAAAAACGAGCAGAATAACAACAACAAAATTGAAAAAAAAAATATAACCGAAATGAAATGAAAGAAAAATGAAAATAAATGTTGGGAGAGAGAGAGAAAGAGAGAGTACAAAAACATATCAAAAAGTATGTGTGTGAGGTAGTATGTCAAAGCGTATGTGTGTGTGTGTGTGTGTGTGTGGGTTAGTTAGTGTGCGTGCTTAAGACTTCAGTGCAAATAGCCAAGGTGGAAAAATCGATATAAATGAATACGGTAACATTTGGTCGACTCTGAAACACCCAAAAACTCGAGACAGTACAAATGGCAAAATTTGTTTTTTTTCCCACTTTTTTCTCTTTATTTTCATTTTATTTTTTTGTTTGTGGATGTTGGCCTACCAAAGTCCAACTTGCAAAACTTTTGCACGCACAGCAACGCACACAGCCGCAGCAGCAACAACAACAGCAACACACGCACACACGTAAACGTAGCCCAGCCACCCACACATAACGCACGCACACACACACACACACACAAACACACCCACTCATTCACAGCCCAGCAGCAACCCGCCCACGCCCACATTCACGCCCTATGGGCCGAGTCAGCGGCAGACGTCGCGATTTTAAGCGCAGGCATACAAAACTTGATATAAAAAATAAAGTAAAAATAAAAACAACAAGAATTACTACAGTGGGGCATGCTCAATATTAAAATACCCCATAATTCAATTTGGCATTGTGATTCGCCAGAAATCAAAAAAACTGCATTAAGAAAATTCAATTTGCATAAATTACCGATTTCTTTAGTATACTTAAATATGAAAATATTGCTGTTGCAGCATTTTCAGTAAATTTCTATGTTAACTATCATTCTTAACTTCTGCTAACAACAAGCCTTGCGCTGTTAACATTGCGTGTAGATGACGATGTTAAATACATAGCAGTTTGTCAGAGCGATAAACGGACAAACAGCAGCTGGAATGAAATTAGAATGAGAGATCATTGCTGTTAATAACAGTTGCTTGCAGAGAGTACAAAATGTAAGATTTGCATTTTACAGAACTGCAAATGTACACTAACATTATTTATTAGTAAAATAAATAACAAATTCTTATGCTGAATTTCAGTTTGATTTAGTTAAGAAAAAGAGTTGAACTATAAATTTGTCAGCTGTTGATTTCACCCAGTCGGTTATTGTGCTCCCAGGGTATTTCGCCAACAGCAACAACAACAGCAAGAGCAGCCGCAACAGCAAATAGCTGTAGCAATGAAGAAAGATTTCATGCTGTCGCTGCAATTTTTGCCCCAGTAAGTATGCTACATATTTTTTGAGCACGGGTTAAGTGCCACGCATGAGTGTGTGTACCAAATACACACACACATACACAAATTCTGATATAAATATATATATACATATATGTAAAGTTTTACATATGCGTGCGTGCGTATGTGTGTGTTTGGGTCTGTGACCCGGCCTAAGAGTCTTCGTCAGCTCCCGCCTGATTTTCAACATAGACATTTGACATTTCAATTTCGATTGGCCAACGAAAATGATAAAATGTCAAAGAAAAAAATCAGTAAAGGGAATTGGTTAAATAAATGTCCGTTGGCTTTACTTTTTTGTTTTTGCAGCTGCTTCAGCTTTTACTGTCTTATACACAATTTGCCCAATTGTCGTATTGATTTCTAATTACATGCATTTGCCCCAAGGCACTTGGCTTAAGGTAGGGCCACGGGATCACCAAATGTATATACATATACATATATATACCTGTACATATACACATAATATATATATATATGTATATGTATTTGTAGGAGTGGCTTAGCCAAATGGTAACAAATTGTAGAGAATGAGGCACATTGTCTACTATTAGTATTTGTTGTGGTGGCGTTGCCATGACGGTGTTTATTGATTTTACGGCTGCCAACAACTGGCAAAGGGAAAGAGAAGAGCGGCACGGTGGAAGCGGGGCCAAGTGGCAGGCGGCATGTGGCAAGAGCCATCAGGCAACAGCCATGAATCATGTTTGTGTGAGTCCGTGTGCGTTGCGTGTTTAGCAATTTGTGGTTATATTATAATGACCACTTGATTTGCCTGCGCCTTTGGCCTCCCTACCTCACGCTCCCACTCCCTCCCTCCCTCTCTCTCTCTCTCTGTCACTGTTTCTCTTTCTCTTTTACTCGCTTTTACTATTACTAATTGCTCTTGTGCTATGCTTGTGCTTGATATATATCAACAGGGAGCCGTCGCAGTCGCAGAGGCAACGTCGAGACGCATGTACGCTCAATGCTCAGCGCTGGCTGCTGGCCGAAGTCGTCTAAAACGGCCAACGATCGTGTGAACTGTGCGTATACTTAACTTGCCTAGTTTCTGGAGCAGCAGCAGCAGCAGCAGCAGCAGTGGCAACATACCAGCCACACAACAAGGAACAACAACAACCACAACAACAACAGCAGCAACAACATTTAGTGCGAAAATGTTCACAGCAAAGCAACAACAACTGCAGCAAGGACCTCATAGACAGTCACGCCTGCTACACATTTGCCTGCTCCTGCTATCGCTGAGCTGGGCGGCCAACGGCAGCAACATTGTGGAGCCCGAGGAGGCGGCTTTTCAAGGTGCGTATGACAGCTATGACACAGCTCTAGCCACACACCCGCACAACGACCCCTGCAACAACCGCAGCCCGTGCGAGCTGTCCAATTGTGGAAATTTTGGCAGCATATCAATAAGTGAAGAGCCAGAGCTTGGCCTCGACTGCCTGGCTGCCTGGCTGTCTGTCTGTCTGTCTGTCTGGTTTGGCTTTGACATTAATGAGCGACTTAATTATGCCTTTCACATGCCTATATAACAATAGTGTGTGTGTGTGCATGTGTGTGTGTGTGTGTGTTACTGTTATGCAATGTTTTTGGCCATATTTTCGAGCGCTTAAACGCAACACGACGCCCACACCAACATAACTAACGTTCTCACTCTCGCATTTCCTCTCGCTCTCGCTCTCTCTCTCTCTTTCTTTCGCTCTCTTTCACTCTGTGCGTGTGTGTGTGCTGCTGCTGCTGCTGACACTTCGATTTCAATTGCATGCAATATGCGATTTTTCAATTTCAATTTGAATACGCAATGGCAAACGACAAGCTTTACTCTGCTACTCCATCAACTCCAAGGCAGACGAGACGAGAGCAGAGCCAACTGGGTGGAGGGGCGTGGCATAGCACACACTATTCACAGCACATGTGCATGTGTGCATGTGTGTGTGTGCAAATGCAAATGTGTTGAGTGTCCAGTGCACTTTAATCGCCACCACACAGTTGCTTAATCAACTAGCAATCGCACACACACACACACGCACACATGCCCACCTGTTTGTGTGTGTGTGTGGCTTGATGGCTCTTTAAGCGTGTTGTTGCGTGTTCCATTTAATAGAATAGCAGCTAAGCAGAGCAGCAGCAGCAGCAGCAGCAGCAGCAGCAGCAGCAGCAGCAGCAGTTGCCAGCATGACGTAAGCTTTTGACAAAGACCAATAGTGCTTGGTAACCGTTATGTGATCTGATACGCTAGACGTACGTACATATACATACATACATATATGTATGTATGTTTGTATATACTCACATATGGGTATCTGCCATGGTTATGCGATGCACACATAACTGTAATGTTAATCTGAATACAACCAAAGTTCAATTAGAACTGCCGAAAAAAAATGAAAAAAAAGAAAAGAAAAGAAGCAAAACATTTGCCCGAGGCGCGCGATTTTGTGAAACTTTCCACACGAGCAAATTTTCAAATTGGTTTAAACTTGCAAACAGGCTTTTCATGTTAAAAAAAAAAAAATAAAAAATAAAATAAAATAAAAACAATTATATATATATATATATATATACATATCGCCAATTGACATAACATAAATAAATATTGCGCTCTACATTAAACTCGACTGTACTTAGTATTCCAGGCCAAGTGCTGAACTTGCTGTCTCTCAGTTATTCATGCTTATTTACTGCGATGTCCTTCAAAAGCGTGTTTTATTTTTCGTGTATTTTGGCTAAAAATAAAAAGTGGTTTTTGGGTCAATTGAATTGATTTTAGACTTTGAAAAGACTGACATTGCGGACTTGTTGGGCTCAGTCAAGTGGCTCACTTGGTAGCACTTGATAGTTGCTCAACTATAAATATAAATATAAAAGTAATATAGAAGTTGTCTAACCAGTACTCGTTATAGTTTGGCTTCAGGTTGGCAGTGCGAGCTGCCTAAAGACATCAAGTTAGCCAGCATTGAAATCAAGTATTTCTTACAGTTTGCTTGGGCAACAGTTAGCTTCCTTAAATTCTTGAATAGTTAAACTTTTTTGGCAGTTGTCATTCGTTATTTTTTACTTTGATTAACATAGACTTCTGCTCATTGATCTTTGATCTTAACGAGTTGTCTAGTTCATCTGCAGCTCACTCCGAAAACTAAACTCTCCACTCGCTGGCTACACTCTCCATTAGTTATATACCATTCTCCGAACTGGACTCATTATACTCCAATTGGCACACTCGACCTCATTACTCTCTTCTTATTTGACTCGTTATACACGACTCGACTCGACTCGTTTTCTATACTCTGTCACAGTTTCTTCATTAAGCTCAACTCTCTCCACTCGACACGGTGCTCAGAATCACTACCCTCTACTTTCTACACTTTTCTAATCTATTTTTGTTCCTTACATTCTATTCTTTACACTCGACTCAACTACTCTCCAAGTGCTATACTTCACTCACTCCAATCCATCAGCTTTACGTTAAGAACTTATCATATACACTCTCTACTTGATCCATTTGAATAGCCATTCCTTGCTCTTCGCCTTGATAATATAATTTTAACGCTAAGAGAGTAAAGTCTGTAGGCTCCAACTTTACTCTCTTAGCGTTAAGATTATATTATCAAAGAGCAGAGCATGGAACGGCTATTCCCTCTTTTTAAAGTCTGTAGGCTCCGACTTTACTCTCTTAGCGTTAAGATTATATTATCAGCGACATTCGTTAAATCGTTTCAGATTATATTAAAATGTAATGCCAAAGTTGTATCATATCACTAATCAGACCTCTACCTGTTACTCCTCAGACCTCTTCAGTTTTGCTTTTACTCGTCACTCATTAGTTTTCTCCACACTTACTCGCTACAATTGTGTATGTAGCACACCCACACACCCACACATCGTCCAACAATTGTTCGAGTGACTTAATCGTTCAGCGCTCTTCGAGTACTTTAGCTACTTGTTCCACTTGAATCGGCACTCGTCGCACTCAAGCCGACTCTAATGTGTGTCTCTCTCTCACTCTCTCTCTCCCTCGCTCCGACTCTGACTCAAGCTCAGACGCTGTATAAAAGCCGGCCTGCTTTTCTTCCTGTCTTTTGATGTCAAGTGTTGGAGCTGATGGAGGCCAGCGCATCAAAGAGCTTGGCGCGGCCCCGCTTTGCTCGACTCCAGTTCAGTTCAGTTCAGTTCAGTTCAGTTCAACTTTCGTTTACTTTGATTGGCTCAGCTCGCACACCGTTTGCGCGTTTGGCTCGTTCGGGTGGGGCTTTGTGTTGCATAAAATTCCATTGCATACTTGTGAGAGCGTGTGCGAGCATTTGCATTTGCATTTGAAATTGGGGCCAGAGATCCATATTGAAAATTTGGAACGAGAAGCGACTGCATATGGGAAATGGACTCGCTTTTGGCACAATGCCACAAAAAGGTGTGTGTGTGTGTGGGCGTGTATCTGAAATGTGGGCAGTAAATTACCAAACATGACTCTGGGCTCTCTCTAAGTCAGTAAAGCTCATTAGAATTTATTGCGGACACGTCGGTCACACCCAGACACAGGCACAGACACAGCCAGGGGACACGCACGTCTGTTGATGTGAGTCGAAATTATGAACTCGACTCGAAATTAAAATGAACAGCGAGAGTGAGCGAGAGAGAGAGAGAGAGAGAGAGAGAGTTTAGATAAAAACACTTAACCGTTTTGTGTTGTTTCTGTTTAGGTCACTGCGGTCATACGAGTCCCTGCGAGCAGCTCTGCTACGAGATCCACGATGGGATGTACGAGTGCGACTGCATCGAGGGCTACGAGCTGAACAAGAATGGCTACAGCTGTCAAGGTGCGTGCATGAATTGAAATTCACTTGATTTGATTTGATTCGATTTTCATTTGCTTTTCATTTGCCTTCTGCAGTGATAAACACGACAAACAGCGGCCAGGATGGGCACGGTAAATCGGATGAGGATGTGCTCTATCAGAAGGGCGCATCCTTCAGTGCGAAGCTCGCCAATGCAGCGGCGGCGGCGGTGGCCACAGCCGGGCAGACGGATGCGGCTGAAGCGGATGCGGATGCGGATGCGAATAGCGAATATGATTACAACGATGAGAATTTAGATGGCATGCGGGAACAGAAAGTCAATTCAAACGATTATTACATATCAGCGGAGAGCATTAGCTTCAATGAGAATCAGGAGCTGGATGCGGCCGACTTTAAGGTGGCGACCACAGCGGGCACAGCCGCCACCAAACTAACCAAATCGACCAAAGCTGCGCCAACAACCACAACAACAACAACAACAGCAGCAACAACAACCAAAACAGCTGCAGCAACAACCACCACGACAACAGCAACACCAGCTGCAAGAGCAACATTCGAACGTGGCCAATTGGCTAACAAAGCCAATGCCATGGATTATGTGGATGGAGTTGGCGTTGGCGATGGCGATGAGTATTATAGCTATAAAGCGGACATGTCCATCTATGACGATGTCAATAATAATCAATTAAATTTAAGACGCAACAGCAACAGTAACAGCAATTCGCATACATATCAGCAGACAAGCAACAACAACTTGAACAACAACAACAACAACTTGAGCAACGACAACTTGAAAGTCGCAATGCATATCAACAATAATAAGAATGCTGCCAATCGCAACATATCACTTAAGACAACAACAACAACAACTAGTACTACTACAACAACAACAACAGCAGCTGCTGCAACCAGCAGGTGAGTGACTGCATGATATGTGCTAGCAATATTATATAGTTTAGTAATAGATTATAGTTAGTTAGTTATACTGTATACTGATACAATACCTCTTCTGTTATCGAATCTTTAGAGTCAATTAGTCTTTAAGCTCAAAATGAGCACTCCATAGATGGGATTATTGTTGAGATGGAACAACTTTACAGTTGTCGAATCCCTAGAGTCAAAGAGAACCTATTATAGCTGATAGATTTTAGTTATCTATATTGAGACTGAGTTGGTTAGGTATATTTCCAGTTTACTTCTTCATTATTGTTGACATGATAATAGATGTCAGCTATCTATATTAAGAGTTTGCTGCTTCACTATTGTTGAGTTGGAATCTTTAGAGTCAGTCAATCCTAAATCTCAAAATAAACTCTTTAACTGCATAGCAACTCTTCATCTACTTTACCTCCATTATAATTATGTTCTCTTCAGTCCTTAATCTCTAAATGAATTCTTCTTCTGCTTGAACTCCCATTTCATGAAGCAAATATTGCTCCCTTTAGCCATTGAGGGAGCTGACAACTGCTCTAAACTCTTACCAGTGGATTTATAATGCACTGACTAAAAGATGACGGTGCTGAATGGCATTTACCATTGAGAACGCGTCGAGTGTGCAATGATACTCGATAGATATTTAATTGTCACGGCTGTCGAACGACGGCAGCGATTGTCATGCGAATTGAATTTCAATCAATAATTGTGGCGTGAAATTCTGTGATAATTGAACTTAACGCTTGTTGACTTACTGAAGGAAGTTTTATTATTATTATTATTATTTTTTTGCAATGTTAAATTGTGTTAAGTTGATTGAAATGAAAGAGCAAGAATTGAATATTGAATACCTTTTGAAGAACATGAATGTTCTTTATAAAGCGTTGAATTTATGTATGTATATATATATATAAATGTATAGATATATATATATATTTTTTTATTATTAATATTATGAACTGCACATCAATAATATATTGTACTATACTTTTACAATACATTTCGAATTGTTAATAATTTAATTTTAATGTCTAAGCCAATTCACAAACTTAATTAGCTATTTAATCTATTATCACCATAAGCCCCTTGATATCTGCATATGTAAAATGTTTATGAATCCCATTTACCATTTACTTTACAGCACACTTTGCAATCTGGATTGCGGCGCGGAGGGTATTTGTGCTCTGGAGGCAACGGCGTCCACAGCGCGCTGTTTGTGCCCATTTGGCAAAACGGGCGAAAATTGCCTGGAAGGTATGTGTGTCCGTGTGTGTCTGTGTGTGTGTGTGTGTGGCATTTAATGGCCATGCTACCTGCATTTTTATACATGTATGTACATATAGTCAGAGCTAATGGGTAATCTTTCGCACAGATATCAGGGCGCACGTGCCACGCTTTGCGAAGCGCTCCTGGCTGGCATTCCCGGCACTCCATGGCGCCTATAAGCATGTACAGCTGCGGCTGGAATTCCGTCCAGAATCCTTTGATGGCATCATATTGCTGAGCGGGGAGCGGGATGATCTAACTGGCGATTTTATGGCCCTGCTGCTGAACAAGGGCTTCGTGGAGTTCTGGTTCGACTGCGGCTCCGGCGTGGGCAGCGTGCGATCCAGAGAGACCATCATGCTGAACGAGTGGAACTCGGTGATTATCTATCGCCATCGTTGGGATGCCTGGCTGGTGCTCAATCACGGCACCAAAGTCCAGGGCAGATCGAATGTGAGTTTGGTCAGGCGAAAGCAATTCAAGCAATTCCATTTCAATGTGCTCCATGTGGCAGGGTCTCTTCTCGCGCATCACGTTCCGTGAGCCGGTCTTTCTGGGCGGCATTGGCAACATCACGGGCCTGGCCAAGCGTCTGCCACTGGCCGAGGGCTTTGCGGGCTGCATTCGCCGCTTCGTGGCCAACGAGCACGACTACAAGTTCACGGAGCATCCGCTGGGCGATGTCATCAATGGCTTCGATATACGTAAGTTGAATACACATACATATATATAGAGTATATACTACATTGTTTCTCTGTTCCTCAGAGGATTGCTCGACGGACAAGTGCGTGCGTTATCCTTGCCAGCATGGCGGCAAGTGCTTGCCCTCGGATCAGGGCGCTGTTTGCCTCTGTCCCATTGGCTTTGTCGGTGATTTGTGTGAGATACGCATGGATTTGCAGGTGAGTGGGGAGTGGAGTGGCAAGCCAACTAAACCGGTTCTATATATAGCATTGCCCTTTCGTCAGGTGCCCGCCTTCAATGGCTCCTCTTTCCTGCGCTATGCGCCGCTGGGCGACAGCGCTTTGATCTGGCTGGAGCTGAAGGTCATCTTGAAGCCGGAGCAGCCGGATGGTCTGATACTCTATTCGGGACCGGAGCAGCGCGGCGATTTTATAGCTTTGTATCTGCACGATGGCTTTGTGGAGTTTGCTTTTGACTTGGGCAGCGGCCCAGCGGTGGTGCGGTAAGTGAACTGCAGCAAAAGGTGGCCAGCACTTATCTAACTCGCCTCTCAATCAGCAGCAGTGAGCATTCCCTCAGCCTGGGACAATGGCACACCATCAAGATCTCAAGAACCGCACGCCTGGCTGTGCTCAAGGTATGCCAAAAGCAAGCTGAACTCTGGCTCACTCTCACTCTCACTCCCTCCCTCCCTCTCTCTTGCACTTGCAGATCGATCAGCATCAGGAGGTGATGACCATTTCATCGAACGGCTTCTGGCATCTGTCGCTGGCACAGAATCTATTCGTGGGCGGCGTCAATCATGTGGACCGTCTGCCATTGGATCTCAAGTACAAGTCCTTCTTTGTGGGCTGCATTCAGCGCGTAAGTTGGCATAGGTTAAGCTATCAAGCGGCCAGCATGACTAACCAGACACCAATTTGCACCACAGATTGACATCAATGGCCACTCGCTGGGCATTGTGGCGGAGGCGCTGGGCGGCAGCAACATTGGCAACTGCCCGCACGCTTGCGTGGCCCGGCCCTGCGGACCGCTGGCCGAGTGTGTGCCGCAGATGGAGAGCTACGAGTGCCGTTGCAGCATCTACAACGAGCGCTGCAACAAGGCAGCTGAAGTGCCGCCCGAGCAGCTGCCGGAGCTGATGCTGCACAAGCAGCACAATGGCCAGCCACTTGAGGCCAAACAATACAAAGGAGTTGAGTCGAAGAAATTGTGGGCGCACAAGAAGCATTCCTCAAAGCGCAAGAGTATGCATAAGCACAAGACAGACAAGACACCTGCAACCACCAGCAGCAGCAGCACCAGCACCACTTCAACCACCACCACCACCACCACAACGACAACGACTACAGCCAAGCCACCCACACCACTTGCAGTGGGTGGTGCGCCCAGCAATGAGGAAATCGAAGATGATATCATCTTTCGCTTTGTGCATGAGAATGCCGCAAAGGCGCCCAGCCCCATTGTGGGTCTGCAGCAGGCCCCACTCGTGGGCAAGCAGCATGTGAGCAAGCACGAGCACCATCAGAAGCCGAACACCTTTGCGCGTAAGCTTGCCCGCCTGCCCACACACTACGAAAGTTTCCAAACAAATCCGGATAGCGATATTCTAACGTTCGATGATAACAACGATTGGGTGGCCAGCATGCAGCAGCAGGAGTATGCGGATGCCATGGCGACCAGTCAAGTGGCGGGCCAGACGGCGGCAGCCAGCTCGGCGGAAGCTGATGTGGCCACTGGAGATGCGGAAGCGGATGCGGATGCGGATGTGGATGCGGATGCTGATGCAAGTGGTTTTGTTTTCGATGAGTCACTGTTTGATGCCAACGACGGCGCTGAGGATTATCAACGTAAGCAGCTGGCCCAGGATATGAAGCGCATCATGTCCAATACACACACGCACACACACGCGCAGAAAAAAAATAACCAGGAGGAGCAGCAGCAGCACCACCAGCAGCAGCCACCGGTTGAGCCGCAGTACAGCGAGGAATACAACGACGATGAGCTGCTAACACCCGTGCTCAAATCGGAGCCAGTGGCTCCAGCTGCTGCCGCGAGCACACCCCAAACGCACACCGACTGGAGTCTTCTCAAGAAATTCGATCTGTCCGCGGAGCATCAGTCGCAGGTGCAGAGCGTGCGCAAGAATTTTGGCGCCTGCTTCGCCGGCACCGACAGCTATTTCCACTACAACGATGCGGACACCATGAGCCAGGTCATCAGCTACAAAATCGATCTCAATCTGCGCATCAAGACGCACTCGGAGAACGGCGTGATACTCTGGACGGGACGGCAGGGCACAACCGAGGAGCACGATGACTACTTGTCATTGGGCATTGAAAAGGGGTGAGCAGGGGAGAGAATGGGACAGAGAAATTGGAATGGGAATGGGTATGGGAATGGAAATGGGAGAGAGCAATTACTTACTCAAGCTGAGCCGCACACAGTACTCCCACTCTGCCTGCCTTCTCATCGAGGCTCGCCTCACGATCGTGCTCATCGTTGAGCGGGATTTCTGCCTACTTTAAGTAGGCGCGCCTGGAGAGATTTTCTTCAGTCGTGTGGGTGGCCTCCTAGTGGTCAGCCGTCAAGTGAAGTGCTCCAGTGTTGTGTTTGGCAATAATTAAATAATTAATCTTGTTAATAATAGTATTTATTATAAGAATGCTATTTATTATAGGAATTTAGTCTAGGTTTTTGTTTATTATTATTATTATCGTTTTTTTTTATATATATATTTTTTTATATATTTTTTTTATATTTTTTTTATATTTTTTTTTATATATATATTTTTATATATATATATATTTTTTATATATATTTTTTATATATATATATATTTTTTTTATATATTTTTTTTTATATATTTTTTTTTTATATATTTTTTTTCATATATATTTTTTTTTATATATATATTTTTATATATATATTTTTTTATATATTTTTTTTTATATATTTTTTTTTATATATATTTTTTTTTCATATATATTTTTTTATATATATTTTTTAAATATTTTTTTATTGATTAATGTTCTAATGAATAGTAACAGTCAACATCATTTGTATTTTCTAATATAATTGTAATTTCTCTTATAATTTCTTTGTAATATATGTATGTATAAATTGTTTGTAATACTCCACAGATATTTACATTTCCGCTATGATCTCGGCGCTGGCGAAGTGGACATACGCTTCAATGGCACCAAAGTCAGCGATGGACTATGGCATCGGGTCCGAGCTATACGGTAAGTGAAATAGAACTAAATAAATTTATGTATGGACTCTTCATTAACTTTTGCATAATTTTACAGCAACTCCCAGGAAGGCTATTTGGAAGTGGATGGACGCAAAACACAGACGCTACGTACGCCGGGCAAGCTGCGACAGCTGAACACCGATACAGGACTCTATGTTGGTAAGTGTTTGCCTTGCTCTAGACTCAATGCTAACAGTAACTAATATGTATTTTATTTTCAACTTGCTTTTAGGTGGAATGCCGGATGTGGCATACTTTACGCATCAGCGCTATTTGAGTGGAATTATTGGCTGCATATCGGAGATCGTTTTGGCTGGCGAGAAATTGAACTTTGATCCAAATACGTTGGGCACAGCGCACAACGTGGAGACGGGCCTACTATGAAACGCTGCACTTACATAAGCCTCAAGACTTTTGATACATATATCAAATAGTTTAAATGTTATTATTTAATTAACGAAATGTTTACAAATTTGTCGATTTCGTTTGTGTTTGTACAAAGACGCTTTTAAAATCAACTGAGAATGAAACAGAAAGATAAAGTGAGTGGGGAAGGATGAGAAAGTAACAAGAAGAAGAGAATTGAGTTCTAGTTGGGAAATTTTTTTACGCCAAGAGATGAGCTGAGAAGTAACTAAAGTAAATATAGTAAACCATACTACATAAAATATATATAGTGCATAAAAAAACATAATGATTATATACAAATGCATACACTTAAAAAGATATATATAGAAATTATATATATATATAAAAAAAAAACAAAGAAAACCCAAAAAAAAAAGGCATGCTTCATATAGCCTGTGACTGTCAATACTTCAGAATGGAATAGTTTATATATATAACTTTAGCGAAAGATTTATAAAACTGAGAACTATGCATAAAATACTTTGAAAAATATTGTATGTAGAAAATGAGCAACAAAAGGAAAGGAAGAGGAAGCAGAAGAGAGAAGTTTGCACATGTTTTATGTCCATTTTGAGCGCTTTGATTTAAGTGAACGTTACGCTTTGTGTGCAGAGTTGCCACCTTTTTGTAAAAGATAAACACACACACACTTACACACACACACGCTCTAAATACAACTACTACATTACTAAAGACACGTATACACATGCATATTGGCAGTACTTTCGTTTTTCGCATTGCTGTACCTTAACTAAAGAAATGAAACAAAAAACCAAAAACAAATATAAAAACTAAAACTAAAATGCTAAAACTATAACTGTACATTCTGTACTTCTTGGAAGTTCTATAACTGTATTAAGCAACACAAATGCAAATGCAAATGCAAAACGTTAACGTCGAGTCGAAGCAGCGTAAACATACTTATTAATTGGTAAGTTAATAAATGTGTAGCGTGTATTAGCTTGTAAGTTGGCACACACACACACACTTTCACAGACACGCACACATGAAGCCTGCCTATGTAAACTTTTATATTTACGAAAAATACACCAAAGAAAACAAAAACAACATACGTAAGCTACACAAACATTATACAACACTAGACACACGCCACACATACACCAAACACACACACAGACACAACGCGCTGAACCAGAATTGAAATATGTGAGCGATTTTTAACAATTTATATACTACAATACAGCAGACAAAAACAACAACAACAACAAGAACAACTAGCTAAAAGATAACATGAAAAACAAATTTAAGCAATTTAACAATCCCATAGCGAAATTTTTAAATGCTAACAACCAAAACAATTGCAAATGCAGAAAAGAAGCAAAAGGAAAAACTTTGTATTCATCTTATGAATATGATTTTGTAGCTTAATGATAACAACTACATACGTAGCTATATATATATAAAGATATATATATAAACAAACAAAAACATATGCGTATATATATACAGAAATATATATATATCTATATATAAATGAGAAACTATAGTGAAAAAAGTAAAAAACAAACGTAAAATGAATAAAGAAATCACAACCACCAATCAATGTAAAACTAAATTAAACGACATTCAATGTAGCTTATTTATAATATGCAAGAACGTGAAGCATTGAGATATTTAATTTCGTACATTGGTTTGCAGAAAATAAAAATATAAAAGAAAAATGATTCTTAAAAATGGTTTCTTTGCTTTTTTAATTCAAGTCTAGTCAAGTTGGCGCGAAAGCGACGTGTGCTGCTTACATGCTGTAAAGTATAAGCTTAATTGAATAAGTTGGCAGCACCATTTTGTCGTGTGACGTCACTATTGTCCGGACAGTATTGACAATCTGTATGATGATAACAAATTATATATTATTGAATGGCTTTCATGCAGAAATATTGATTCAACTCAAATGATAGGCCTGTGCGATTTATTAAAGTCTCTTGCCAGCAATTTGGCTGCAAATTAATTTATTGCATGACCTGAGACTCGTTACTCGTTACCGGTTACTTGACTGACGAGTATAACGAGTTGGCAGGCTTGCTTTGACAACAACATATAACTCACAATAATGGTAAGCTATTCCAGTCTCTTTTTTATTTGTTGCAAATAATCAAACAAATACTTTACATTCAATAATTTGACAAAGCACTAGATTGGTGCAGCTGATGACAGCTACAACGGGCACCCAACGAAACGAGAGCAACATCATCAGCGATATCAACGACGACGACGACAGCAACAACAGCAACAACATCAGCTGTACAAACATTAATTTTTAGACTAATTCGGGGTGGGGGGCTGACGACTGACTACGGAAGACGGTCGCCAAAAAGACACGGAAGTGTTTTCTCACCAGAAACTTGATTGAAAACCACCTTCGGTGCGTAGTAAGCCATGGCCGATGCTGCTGGTGGTGGCATGCCCGAAAATGCGGCCGAAATAGCCGTGGCGAATGCAATCAATAACATCAACGGCCGCAATCGTGTGCTCGCTGGCGGAGTACCTGCCGGCGGTGTAGGAGTGGGCGGAGGTGTTGGCCAAGTAAGAACGCACATGCACACACAAACACACACTCATGCACAGCAATGCTTATCTTTGACAATTTGTAGAACAACATGATGAACATGCGGGATCGTCTATTTCATGCCATTTACTTTCGTGTAGCAGCCACCTATGCAGAGTTAGTGCCACGGTAAGTGATCAAAGAATAAATTACGGCTACTGAATAATTACAGAAACTCTCCCTCTCTCCTTCTCTAATTGCAGCAAGGTGCAACTGGCAATTGAATTTCTGCTACTGCTGAAGGCTTTGGTGTTCTTCTTCACTTTGGTGTACATACACACGGCATTTATAAAGCATCCGTGCACCTGCCTGCAGGACGTGCAGAATTGGCCACGCGATGGCGTTATACGAGTGGAAATAATACCACACTTGGCCGAGAAGCGTGCCATATGGCAGCGCATTAAGTCCGATCAGCAGCTGGTGCTGGCGCTTAAGCATACTTAGTACGAAATCCGATATCATAATATATGTTACAGAATCTCATTTGTTGCTTGATTTGCAGCTACTATGGCATTGGACCGCAAACACTGGACAATCACAATAGGCTGAAGCGCTACGAGACGATACTACGCAAACTGGGCTTGCCGGTGCGACCCAATTTCGCCTATGGCAACGAGAGTCTGTATTACTATTTCGATGCCATCAATATACTGGATAGCTACGAGCATCCCAGCGCTATACCACTCAAGGCTGACGACGACGATGGTATATGCATTGATTAGCTAAATATGTATATGCGAGATTAATTTTATAATACTCTATGTAATTCGCTTGCAGATGAGCAATACATTGTTGAGTATTCGCTGGAGTACGGCCACCTGCGTCTCTCCGCCGACACACGCAAGAGATTGAACATACCCGTGCTGACTGTGCAGCTGGACCCGAACTCGAATCCCTGCTTTGGCGATAGACTGACGCGCTACCTGCTCAAGCGCCTGCTGGGGTAATTACGATTTGAACCGAATTGAAAGCTTTTAATTAACTTGCTTTGCCAATTGGCAGCTATGATGATTTGCTAATGGCTTCGGTGCGCACTGTGGCCGAGAAGGAGGACAACAAGGGCTACCTGAGGAACGTGATAACGGGCGAGCACTATCGTTTCGTGTCCATGTGGTGGGCTGCCTGGAGCAGCTATCCAGCTGCATTCTGTGTCATGCTGCTCTTTGTATGTCGTTTATATGCATATACATATATTTATGTGTATTTATTTACTAATTCTATATACTCTTTGCAGACGTTCTCGGTGTCCATGCTCCTGCGCTATTCGCATCATCAGATCTTTGTGTTTATAGGTAGCTAGTTAAGGGTTTCTACTTTGAGTATTTTAATCAAATTTATTTAATTTTTGCAGTCGATCTGCTGCAAATGCTGGAGTACAATGTGTCGGCCCGCTTCCCCATCGCGCCCCTGCTGACGGTAATACTGGCGCTCGTAGGTGTGCATAAATACCCGGCATATGTAGATTATCTCTTGTTAAACGGAAAATTCTGTTGAATCTTTTCAGGCATGGAGGCCATCATGTCGGAGTTTTTCAATGATACAACAACTGCTTTCTATATAATATTGATTGTCTGGATCGCGGATCAATTTGATGCCATCTGCTGCCACACGGCCATTACGAAACGCCATTGGCTCAGGTGCGTAGTAGACCACGCGGCAGACAGAGACTGCGGATAGCTGTTGCTGCAACAGTTTTTTGTGCCATTTGTTTTTGCTCATCTTTATTTTTTTTGTTGCTTGTTGCTTGTGCAATCGTCTGTGCGCCAGAACAAATGACAAATTCAATTACATTAAGTCGAAGCCGGGGCGTCGCAATCCTTTGCTGTCCGCTCAATGTCCGGCTGCTGTCTTCAGGCTAACCTGACCGAAGCGGAGCTGAACTGAGCTGAGCTGAGCTATCCCCCTCAGCACTTAACAGTTCATTTCGTTTTGTTCGCATATTTTCTTTTCTTTTCACTCCATGTCCAGGACGTATTTCACACTGCGCTTCGTTTGGTTGCGTTTCGTTTCGTTTGGTTGTTATTTGAAAATTAACTTGGCTTGCGCAAGCCTCCCCCGGGGCCAAAGCAAATCGACCAACACAACACCAAAGACCCTCTGCCGGCACACACACACACACACACACGCACACATACATATAGAGAACACAGAATTTCATCACTTAAGTCAACAAGCGTAACCCAAGCACCAGTCACCCAGTCCCCCACCCAAACCCCAAACTCCAGACCCCCAAACCTCAACTGGGCCGCGCCATTAGCAAACATTTAAATAAACTTGTTTGTAATAGCTGCGAACACAAAATGGAATAAGTGAAAACCTACGGAAAAAATTGTACTGAGGCGGGCAGCGGAACTGTGGGGCCCTGGAGCCGGGGGCAACTCCTATAAACATTAATGACCACGCACGTCATACAAAACTCAATCGGGCCGACAAGCGAAAAGTGGACGCGACTCTAAAACCGTTTACCCCCTTTCCTGTGCTCCCTCTCCTCGTTTTTAGATCAATCTTTCTCTTTTTTTTTTTAGCCTCGTCTGGTTCCGTGAATTGTGGCTCGTGACGAGCTACTTTGCGGTTTATTGCGCGCACTTTGCATAATTGAGAGGCGAACAGCTAGGAAATTATTTTGGAAAATCTCACCCAACACTCGCCAACCCCAAAGGCAGCAGCAGCAGCAGCAGCAAGATTTTTCAAACATTGCGCCCATCAATAATTCAAAAAGACACTCGACTATTCCCTTTATTCCGACTCGTTCAACGTCCCCACCCCTGCGCCTCTGCCCCTCTCTCGCTCTGTCGCTCGGTCAGCCTGCGTCTGTTTGTTTGCTGTTTATGAGAGCCGAGCTCCATTAGAAATTCATGCCCTGGCATTTACCAATCACTATTCACTGACCCCACTTCCCGGCCTTCCCCATGCCCCTCTTCCTCTTCAGTTTTGGTGTTGATTTTGCGTAATTTGCGCCTGAATTAAAAGGCCATCAATGTGGCACGCGGTTCGAGCAGCTGCCGTATTTATATTCATTAAACATTCATAGCCGCAAAATGTAGCCATGCCCACGCCCACTTACGCCCAATATTAGCTGTTTATTGCGGCATTTAAGCGTGCCACCACGGATTTCCCAGCTCTCTCTCGCTCTCTCTCTCTCTCTTTCTCTCTGTGTTGCACGCAACTAAATGCTTGCAGCATCTTCCAGGTGTTGGCCTTGCAGTGCCCTGGGAAAGCAGCTCCATTAAAATATAATTGAATATCGTATATCGTAATGCTCGTATTTCCTGCACCTACGCCAGCCTTTGCTAATATAATTAGAGAGCTTAGTCCGCACATTAACTGTGTTCTTTATCCTTATCTGGCTAAAAATATATACTTGCAAAATATCTCATTACATTTGGTCCGACTATCTATAGCAATAAATCAATAACTTAATATACTTATTTTTACTTTAGTATATGCATTCAAGTTTCAACTAAAGCATTTTGTTAGGGATTTGTTCTCTTTTTCTTTCTCTCTCTCTCTCTCTCTATCTCCCTCTCTACTCCTGTCTCTGTGTGCATATAAGCTCTCTGCCTTCTTATAGCCTTGCTCTCCCCATTTGAGCTTCCCTCTCTGTCTATTCTTATTTCTTTAGTCTGCTCATTTTCTGTGTTTTGCTTTAGTCTCAAGGTCTTTTCTGTTAAAGTATGAAAAGCTCGTCTTCACTTTGTCTTTGCGAATTGAACATCTTTTTCTATTGATGGGCATTATCGTAAGTCATCGAGGCTTACTACACTTGTTTTTTGACTCTTCCATCTCTAACTCTCTCACTCTTCATCCTTTCAATGTCAATCTCTCTCTCTCCCTCTCTAACACTTCTGTTTCTCTTGCTCTCTTATAGATCTTTCACCATTCATTCTTTCTCCCTTCATCTCAATGTTCCTGTTTGCTCACCATCTTCCCTTATTCTCTTCGCTCTTCTTGAATTCTTCTCACAGCTCTCTTCTCTACTCTCTACTCTTCTGTCTGCATTTCTCCATACTATATTCTCCTTTCTCTCCTGTTTTTCTTCATAATCCAATGTGATTCCTATAAATTTCGTTGCTTTAAATTCGTTGTTAAATTTGTATTTTTTAGTTTTAAATAATATAATTCTTGGTCGTATTGTTTGCAAACCTTTCCAGCTGAGATTAGATTTCATCAATTTGTGATTACGTTTTCATCTGGATTTCGATTCCGATTTCGATTTAACTGCGGCTTTGATTACCACATCTAATGCAAATTACATTCGGCTGTCATTTGTGTTTCTAATTAAATGTGGATAATAATGGATAATTAGGTAGAAAAATCTCCACAGTATAATTTAAATTACATTTCGAGATAATATCGATTTCAGCTGACGTTTTCCTTGCTTTCCCTTTCGCTTCAGCTCCCCTCCCCCTTCGTTTGCCTTGGGCGCCCTTAACATGGAATCAAAGCAATCAGAAATGTTTAGATATTAGGCTGAAGTTTGAGCAGCGCTGCTCTCACTGTTGATATTCGCATATATTCATGCTCATACTCGTATTCATATTTATATTCATATTCATATATCTCTATTCAAACCCGCGCGGAGTTGGCCAAGCTGCATTGGCCAAGGTTAAAAGTAGCTGAAGCATATCCCCATTGAAGTAGCCCAGTCAAGGCATATGCAGATATTTTTTGTCCTCTGCCACGCCCTTCTCTCATACCAGCTCGGCTGGCCCCCTTCGTCCTACAGCAGCACAAGTAAAAATTAATTTTGTAAAAAGTCAAAACATATTGGTTGAGCTCATCATGCATGTACCCACACACACACACATCCTGTTTGTTTGCTTCTGTGTGTGTGTGTGTGTGTGTACTTTGGTTCGGTTTAATTTTGCTGTTATTGACCGCCCGAAGCAATCGTCGAAGGGGGTTTCCACTTTAGACCTTTTGCCTTTCACTTCCTGCTGCTGCTGCTGCTGTGGTTATGGGTTATGGCAAAGAGTGAAAGAGAGAGCGAGAGAGAGAGCGGGAGAGCGTGAGTGAGTAAAGGCCAGAGAAAGGGTAGTCGTTGTAGAGTTCTCTCTGGTAGTGCTGCCATTTTGGTTGCCCGTTTGCGGTTAGCTGCGATTGAAGTTCGCTTTAAGGCCAAAGAAATACGCCAGCTGCGTTAATTAGCCCGGCTTAAGCCATATGTCTTAGCTAGTTGCAGGCATTGCAACAGCAGTAGCAGCAGCAGCAACAACAACATCAGCAACAACAACAACAGCAACAACAGCAGCAACAGCAGCAGCAGCTTGCATTAGCTTCTCGGCCAGGTGTAAGTGTGACGCACTCTGGGTATTTACGCCCTAATTGACTACCGTCAGCGACTTTAAAGTGGCATCAAAGCGACTCGTTTGTGGCACGCTTAAAAATAATTCTGTTAATCGCCGTTTAACGAGCTGCCGCCAAAATGTATAGACGAGCATAATTTGGCGCACCCCTTTGGCCGCCCGCCCAGCTTTATTGAGTGCTCCCGCCCCTCCGCTGACTTTTGCCCTGCGGCTCGTTTCAGTGCCGCAGCCGTAATGCTGCTTTTGTGCTTAAATCTGGTTGCCACGGCACGGGGCAGACGACACGTATTAAATGAGCTGCAAAAGCGTACAAAAAGGGCACAAGGCGATGCGATGTCTTGCGCAGATTGACGGACAGACGAGCCGAGGCAGCGACGGCTGGACGGACAGCCCAGATAGACGAACGGACGGACGGACGGATGGACGGACGGACTTCACAGAATCGCGTGGTATTGGCGGCTTCAAAGAGCAAATTGTATCAAGACAGAAGCAGGAGCAGCAGGAGCAGCAGGAGCAGCAGCAGTGGCAGCTGTGGCAGGGGCACTTTTTGGTTGGGTTCAAGTTCGGGTTCGGGTTGCGAGTTCGGGGCAAATTTGTAACAGTCGCGCGTTTCAAATAGCTGCGAAGGACACGCCGTCAGCCCCTTCCCGCTCAGCTGCTGTGGCGCGCCTTTTGCTGTTGTTTACACGCTTGTTATGCGTAACAAATACACACACACACACACACACACACACACACAGAGAGAGGCACTCTATATAATACATATTTATGCCATAAGTATATATAGATCTGTTTGCTTGTTAAACCCAATGAGCCTGTTTCCTACTTTGGCGGCGTCCTTTTACCCTGTTCGTCGCGCATTTAGCCAGAACGTCAACGTCAACGTCGTTGGCAACCATTGGGGTTGGGTGCTACCCCTTAACCTGTAGCTGTAGCTGTAGCTGTTGGCCCCAGCGCCTCACCTTCAGTTCAGTCCTTGTTTTTCGTGTTGATTGAGATCATGTTACGCAAAGTATAATTGCGTCAAGTTTGTTTTGCTGCCATAACTTTTGTCCGCGAGCCAACGCCTCGCGAACTGGAATGCCCGGGGCGCTGAAGTGGCCTGGCCTCTTGCCACGCATATCCTTTGGCCTCTCAACTCCGCCCGCCGCTCTTCGCTTGCTCTCCTACCTGTGCTGCTCTTGTTGTTCAAAGGTGCAGTTGATGAGTGTTCGTAACGAGGCAAAATCGCTTCATTGTTATACGCGTTATAGTTTCAGCTTGTTTGCTTTTCCTTTCCCATATTTTCCATCCTGCCTGCCCGCTGCTGCCTCTTGTTGTTTTTTTATTCT